ACAATATACATTGTTGCTTAGCAACGAAACTATTACTTCATTGTTCTTAAACCAACTATGCTGTTTATGTTGATTTGTTAGAAAGTTTTGTTTTTTATTCTTAATTTTTCTATAACTTTGGTGATATAACAGCAAAATAGTTTAATTCAGAAGTTTTATTACATTGAGTCATAGCCAAAAGCAAAACAGAATTTACCAAGTAGTGTTTCAGCTAAGCCTTACTGTACGTTTATGCATTAGGCCTAGTGCTTAAATTAGACTACAAATAGGCCTACAATTACTAACGTTATAGAGTCAGTTTTTATAAAGTTTTAAGTGGTGAAGAAATGTAATAGATAAATATTCATTTGATATTTTAACACATATATTACCTACTTTGTATTAAAACATAAAGAAAAATAAACGTTTATTACTACCAAATATCCTTTGGTTGAAAGAGTTGAAAATTTTTGTTTGAATTTCTGCACTATGTTTTCTACCCCCTGATGTAGAATACAGTGAAAAGGCTCAAGAGTGCTATTTCAGAGTGCACACGTACTTTTGTTCACGATAACATTTAATTTTTCTGCATAGATTTTACTAATAATGTGGTGAATAGAGAATTACTTCGAGACTGATGAAATAAGTGAAGAGTAGGTGTATTTTGGAGACAAATTCCTTTTAGTTAAATTCTATAATTTTCATTAATCATACAACAGTGGCTTCCCATCGTTTTTGATGGGATTTTATAGCAGATAAATAATGGAATATTTTTATTGAATATATTTAAATCTTTAAGTTGTTTATAAATGTATAGAAAAAGCACAAAAAGAAGTTATATAATTTTTCTAATTGAATAGAACAGTTTTCCTTTTGGGCAGAAAGCATCCATCTACTATATTACATTTCAACCAACAAATAAAACTATTTTGGCTATATGTAAATTAGGTATTTGAATTCTTCTTAGACTTACAATGATGATTCAGATGCCCTTTTGAGGGTTCAAGGTGTGTCTGTATCCACTGATTTCCTTTATATAACATGGTGAGTGGGTCATGTTCAAGGTGTGTCTGTATCCAATGATTTCCTTTATATAACATGGTGAGTGGGTCATGTTCAAGGTGTGTCTGTATCCAGTGATTTCCTTTATATAACATGGTGAGTGGGTCATGTTCAAGGTGTGTCTGTATCCAGTGATTTCCTTTATATAACATGTTTAGTGGGTCATGTTCAAGGTGTGTCTGTATCCAGTGATTTCCTTTATATAACATATTTAGTGGGTCATGTTCAAGGTGTGTCTGTATCCAATGATTTCCTTTAAGAAATGGTGAATAAATGGCAAATGGGTTTTAATTATAATAAATGCAAGATAATAAATGTGGGTTATCATAATTTCAATCATCGAAACAAGCAGTAGCGTGTCTTGTGGCAAAAAAAAAACTGTAGGGCACACTGTATCTTATTAACAGGAGTGAAAGCTTAGCGATTTGCCACCTTCCTTAGCTCAGACTGTGGTAATCCAAACTATCACATATTTTCAGTGGATGTGCTATACTGGATCTTACTTCGCATATCAAATTTCAAGGCAATTCATTAAGAAATACCTGAGATATAACATCTACAATTTTGAATGAGTTTCGTCCTTTTTTTTTTTTTCCACACCAAACTTTATTTGATAGAAAATCATACTTTTATGGATTTTTTTTTCAAGTTTCGTACACTGATAGATCCTTACAACCTACAAGTAATATTCTCATTTGGTATAAATATAACCCACATGTGTAAAGTTATTCAAGAAAAACCGCTGAAATTTGACAAAAATATTTGCACACGCCTATGCAAAAAGTCACATGAGCTATCGGTCTAACATTTTTACTACAGCTTCACATAAGAGTAAAAGTGAACCATTTTTAGTTTTATGTTGTTCAGATTAAAGATGGCTGATTTAAGTAGCAAGACTATAAGGTGAAAGGGCATGCAAATACGTAAGTATTGGTTAGGCCATGCAAATCAGATTAGCAATTTCTAGCTCAAGTTTTCGAAACAATCATACGGGTGAATGGTTAGGATTCATTATTCATTGCCAACTTTTAAGCACAAATTTACTAAGTTTTATTAAATTATCCTAATTAAAGAGCATTTAGCATCACATTATATTAGCATAAATAATGATGCTTGATATGGCTGTACCAATTACATGGGGGTGATGAAAAGAAACTGTTAATCAAAATTCCATGGCATTATAATAAAGGAACCTGTTAGCACTGTTTTAGAGAGGAAAATTAACACCATATATTTTTTAAAATCTGCTTGGTTCTGTAAAGTAAAGGTATGTTCCGAAGAATAGGGTTGTGATCCTAAAGCTAATGTTGGTTGCTATCGAGTGTTACTTTATTTGCTATGGTTTGTTGGTGTATATTGACAAAAAGTCATGATAACTAATCAAAAACACTTTGGGTGTGAAAAAAGATGTGGCCATAAAAGGATTGATCATGTGACTTGAAGGAATTAAATCAAAATTGGTGGCCAAACTGGTAGCTACACTTATAGCATTGATAAGAATTTTACAGCAAATATTCATTCATTAGCTAGCCAGGCTGTGTATTTTATTTACCCACCATCATGCCCCAAGTTGAACAAAAACATGGCCTGGCTGACTAATGAATGAATATTTGCTGTAAAATTATTATCAATGCTATAAGTGTAGCTACCAGTTTGGCCACCAATTTTGATTTAATTCCTTTAAGTCGCATGCTGGATTCTTTTTTTGGCTACACCTTTTTTCACACCTAAGGTATTTTTGATTAGATTTATATTCCCTAGTCCTACCATTCTCATCAT